TTGTTCTCGAAGGGGAGAAGCGCGCGCGGCACAGATGGTGGGCGACGGCGCGACGGCGCATGCGCGCGTCAGCTGTCGAATGTTCGAGAAGGGGGAGAAGTGCAACGGCACATGCGCGCGCGTCAGCTGACGATGTTCTCGAAGCGCGACGGCGCATGCGCGCACGTAAGATGGAGAATGTACTCGAAGGTTATCGAAGGGGAGAAGCGCGACGGCGCATGCGCGCGCGTCAGCTGCCGATGTTCTCGAAGCGCGACGGCGCATGCGCGCATCATCATACAGCTGGCGAATGTTCGTGAAGAGGAGAAGCACACGTGGTGTGGAGAGGAGGAAGGGATGCACAGATGGTGGAAGAAGGAGGAGGAAACTTGCGGACGGTGCCGCACTACAAGCCTCGAGTATTAGATGCTCCGCATCTAAAACGCGAGCAGTCTATAGTGTGACCCCAGGCGCGACCAGCGTCCGTCGGCGCGGCCCGGCGGCGACCGGCGACATGCTGCATTTCGCACCGACGACGTTACTTAGACGGCACCGCGTCTTCCTCTCTCCGTGACGGAGGGACGCCGTGTGCGCTCAAACGCGCATGCGTCAAAGCAACGCAGCGCGCGCCTGCGAGTACATGGCGGGCAGTTCCACAATGAAGGACAGTAGGCAGATCCACTGATCTCTATTAGGGGGATATCGGCGCCTGGCGTGGCGTCGCCGGCGTGACGCGATAAAACAAACGCTGACGCGCCGGCTCACGTCGAAGTGTGTTGGTGCCTTGAGTGTGGCGTGTATTAATGTTTTCACATGACGCGCATCTCATGATTATCATGTTTGCACCAGTCAAATACCTTCGTCATCCATTCACCTGACGTAATACCAAAGTTTGGCATATGTGAAGGTAGCGAAACGGCCGCGAGGGTATCATGAGTGTGGGACGTAGTCATGTTGTTACATGACACGCATGCCACGATCATCACGTTTGAACGTGTCATTTACCTACGTCGTCCGTTCGCGTCACGTAATACCGCATTCGGTATCTGAAGCTAGCCAAGTGGCCGCAAGTGCATCATGTGCGTATCATGTAGTCATGTTGTTACATGACACGCATCTCATGATTATTATGTTTGCACCAGTCACATACCTTCGTCATCCATTCACGTCCCGTAATACCAATTCGGTATATGTAAAGCTAGCGAAACGGCCGTGAGCCCATCATGAGTGTGGTATGTAGTCATGTTTTTACATGACACGCATGTCATGATTTTGATGTTAGGGTCTGTCGCTTGTATTCGCCATGCACTCTTGTCATACCTTAGCTGTTCTGCAGCATATCATGTGAATGAAACCTCCGCAAGAGCAGCAAGACCATGACATGTAAATCATGACATATATTACATACATATCATGATTTTGATGTTATGACTAGTCAGCTGTGTTCATCATACAGTCTTGTTATATCATACCAAGTTTGGTATCGATACCAGCATTCAAGCGGCCAGGAGAGCTAAAAGTCGGAGGCAGATAGATAGATAGATAGATAGATAGATAGATAGATAGATAGATAGATAGATAGATAGATAGACTCAAAGTCACCAAAGTTTGCCAAGAAATGCTTCGCATTTAAAACGTTGTAGAGACGTCACTTACATATTACCTTAACGATGGATATCAACCATTTTTTGGGACAACTGTTTACCAATCTGTATTGTCCCTTGCGCCCATGTGTGTGAAAACTCGCTAATCGTCATGCCGTCTTTCACAAAATTAATTTAAACGGAATTCCCTTAAATTGTTAAGGTGTTTTTTAGGCGGCACTGGGCGACAGAGCGTAATGGCGGTAATTATGGCTAGGCACGGAGTTCCAGTGCGAGTGGCGTTCTTTTTAGAGATATCCCAATAGAAGGCGCTCGAAAGTGAAACCCATTAGTAAGTTCCAAGGGTATACGCTACAATTACCGTTCATTTCAGAAAACATCCTTAAATAGGATATTGTTGCGAGTTAGCGCTGGTGTGGTATCGTATGACTAATTTTATTGTGGCCCTGAGCATTCAGTCCGCCACTGTTGGAGGCCACTCCCACGTAGGAACAGGGAGGTAAACTTTTGCAAACTCCTAAAGTCAGGAGCCAGCCTCCTCAGCGTGTGCTGTGCACACAAATCCTCGTACTGACATCGTGCCAGTTGTGCGAGGCTGAGCTCACTAATGCCTTGTGCGCCTGATACCACCAGACACCCCTGTGGCACGGTCACCACCAAACTCCATTAAACTCTTCTAGGAAGTTCAATGGAGATAGAGTTGTGGCAAAGTCACACGTAAATGACAAGGTTGTAATGGTTGCCGTGAGAGGTTCAGCCGGCGCTGTTTGATTTTCGCAGAAGTATCCCTTCATCTCTATATGTAGTTGCTTCTTCTGCGAATACTCGTTATGTGGTTTTTACAAAAATACACTGTTAAGTAGGTCTGAATTGATCAAAGTAATAAAAATTATGTCAATTGTGAACGCATTCGCTAATTGTAACGATGCTTGCAGCGACGCTGACCACCGTGTGCGACTAGTTTGTGCACGAAAGTTTCTGCGTTTCTTTGTCTCGTGAGCGCACATTTTGTCTTTCGTATGTAGTGCTGTGTCTTCAGTAGGCGACAATAATGCAGCGCTGTCAGTCTTTTCTCTCACGGGCAAGCGCGAACACGGCGACGACAACAACCGCTTGCATGGACGAAATATTTCAATTTAATTCAATTCAATTCAATCCCGTCCCGACTCGTGAGGCACCGTGTGGAGTGGTGTGGAGGGCATCGGTGTGGAGAGTAGCAGCATTATGGCGGGTGTATATGTAAAGAAACGCACGATAGGGGTGTAACTGTACACGAAGTGATGTTCCTACCCTGCGGCAGTTGGTGAGCCAGTTCTGCAATCACTCCCATCGAGAAGGTTGTATTCGTAGAGCACGAGTCACAACAACCTAAGACTGTGCCCGAATTAATGAGTACTAGAGCAATAGCCCCTAACTCAAAAACGCCACGATCTTTTGCATAAACGGAAGCGTCATTTACAACACTTCCTGTGCAACCTATCACCACCACCGAGCGAGCGCCGGTTTTGCTGTGCGTTTTCCTGTGTGTCGATTGTCGCGCAATGACACAACCTCACGTGGCCTTCAGCATTAACAAGATCAGTTAAATTAGATCGTCAACGACATGACGCACAAATTGCAATAAAGTGCCTCGACACGATGAACATGGCATTTTATTTCGTCATTCGCCGCGTTGGCGTTGAACAAGTAAACGGTACAGAAGCCAAGATGGATCTTATAGCCCGAAACGAACCATTAACAAGCGTGGTGAAAAGCGTCAGAGCCGTCGTCATAGGTGTTCCTATGATGCCGGCAACCCCAGACCCGGAGAACACGATGGCTCGTATATCTGGTACCTGGGCGTCGTACCACAGTTCTCGGCGTAGATGAAGTCGCAGCAGTCGGCAGGCTGTTGGAATGTCGACAATCGTCGCCACAAGGTGCAACCGTAACCTGTGAGACGTAGACAAAAAAAAAAAGACCGTCAAGCTTGACGTTGAGAAACAATCAAGGCGTACGCCGCAGGTTCCCCCTTCAGGGGGAAGGGTGAGGGACTGAGGAGCAAAGTACCTGCTTCAAAATTTATGACAACAAAAATCAGACCTTGGCTGTCTTCGCGTAGAGAGTTCTCGGAATGAAATGTCAGGGGCTTTCAGGTGCTGTCATCGTCAGGGTTGCCGTAACTGAGTAGATGTACACGGCAATCTACGCGTGGCACCACCCTCCCTTCTCGCCGTGGTGAACTGGGAGACAATGGGTGAGCGTCGTGTGAACGCTCTTGTAAACAGCGCAATGTTTGGGATGTGAGAGTTGCCTTAAGGCAAACCATGGTCTCTTTTGTTTGGTGTTATTTCTAGCCCTGTCTTTCACGGTGCATCTGCGGTGCTGGGCTGCTGACCTGAAGGCCACGTGTTCAGTCCTGGCAGCTGTGGTCGCACTTCGTTGGGGGGCGAAACGGTGTAGGCCCTGTACTGTGCAATGTCAATACACGTTAAAGAACATCTTATGGTCGAAATTTCCGGAGCCCCTCACTACGTCGTCCTTCAAAATCATAGCATGGTTTTCGGACTGTATAACCCCAGATGTTATTGTTGTTGTTGATAATATTATTAGTATCTATAGCCATGCCCTTACAGGCAGAACGTCGGTGGAAGATGTAGGCCTTAAGCCATGAAAAAAGCCTTTGGACATAGAGTGCCGCTTGAGACAGCGTTTGGACAACTCGTGTCATCTTCTTCAAGAAGACAAGTGCCGAAACGCTGTCTCCAGCGACACTCCATATTCGAGGATATTTTCATGGCCCCTGCCTTTCTGACACGTGTAAGTATAAGCTCGTGCTTTGCTATTCCTTTCGATTTACATAGGACATTGCGCGCCTCTTTCATAAAATAAGTGGGCAACCGGAGTCGAACCTTCGTCTAGTCGAGTTGCGACTACTGCGGAAGCAAAAAATGAAACAGTACCGGAACCCTTTACGCTTGTTTACTTAGTTTTAATTTATAGAACATGTGAGAGATTCCATTCGCAATAGGTAACTAGGGCTTAAAGAATGTATCTTACATATATCTTACGTATATGGCAAACGTTTTTCTGGCCCTTTTGTCGTCTGAATACAAGACGACATATAAGTAAGTTACAGTTGTCTGCTTTGCCCCTCTATTGCCGTACCATTTCAAATAAAAATAGCAAATGGTTTCACGCCTGCTCAGAAAAAAAATGCACCTCTAAAAATTATGTTATTTCCCCATTTTACTTCTGGTATATTTCATACTGTGCTAAATTATTTCTTTTTGAAGTTATTGTAGAATGCATACTTTTGATGTTGAGCTTATGTATATTGTCTCACCATGAAAATTTTATACCTGGGAATCAGATATTGCAGTGTGAATGACCGGCGCTTCACTGTTGTAAAAGACGACGACGACAACGATCGGCGGCTGTGGTTGTCGCTCGCGCTCTGACTCGCCCGTCGCAAAAGGCAGCCTATTCGTTTTTCCCCATTACAACAACAGCCGGTTTAATGGCCGATCCCCCGTAGTGGGTACGAGACTAACCATATAGAAACAAGCACGCAAGCAAGCAAGCGAGCAAGCTGCCTAGTGAAGAGCCTTTGCAGTCTCTCATTCTTTTTCGGAGTACAACAGCCCGTTTTAAGTTGCACATGGTGGAGCTGCTATATGAAAATTGGCTATGGGCCTACACTAGCCTTTGGCTACTGGCCCAACAGTTCATTGTACAAAAATACTGTACGAATGAATAATAAGAGAAATTGACGTAAGTGCATAATTATCGTTGCTTTCGATCTTTTAATGGGAACTACGGCGTTGTTAACAACCATAAACACAAGCCACAATGCCCATGTGTGTTCTCGTTGTTCTAATTAGCAATGAACTTCCTTTGAAACTTGCCAGGAGAGTAAGGGAGAGCGAGGTTATAGAAAGGGGGAAGCTGAACCAGACAGTAGACCAGTCCAGCTGTCTACACTGCGCTTTGCAACGACAAAGAGGGCATGAAAGAGAAGAGTCCATGACGAGTTTTCAAAGTCATTAGACTACAGAAAACTTGTCAGACTTACCATTGTCAGCATATGGATGACGAAGTATGTAGCAGATGTTGCAGTCCGCATAAATAATTTGGTAGTTTTGTTCAACGATGTCGCCGGACTCTGCAGAACAAATGCAAGCACATTACTGATAGCTATGCTAAAGCCTGTACTATACTCCGATTGAAGATCACCAAAGTCACACTATGGGCCAAAATTAATGGCATGCTCCTAGAAGAAACTAGCCGGTGTGAGCTTGAAATATAGTTCCGCTGCAGTAGTCCAGTGGCTAAGGCACTCGGCTGCTGACCCGCAGGTTGCGAGATCGAATCCCGGATGCGGCGGCTGAATTTTCGACGGAGGCGAAAATGCTGTAGGCTCGTGCGCTCAGATTTGGGCACATGTTAAAAAAACCCAGGTGGTCGAAATTTCGGAGCCCTGCACTACGGCGTCTATCATAATCAGTTGGTGGTTTTGTGACGTTAAATTCCACACATCAATAATCAGTACCCCCTTCCCCCTCCCTTTTGTGCTTCTTCTGTGTCTCCTTCTGGCAGTGGTTCGGCGTTAATAATTCAAAATGATGTACCAACAGCCCAGCAACGAGTTTGGCTCAATCAGATCGAGATTGGTGATCTTCAACATGGCAGTAGGCCCATTCTCATTTTTTTGTATACTAAAATAGCACAGATCTGCGCTATTACGCTTAGTTCCTACCCTTTTTTCCGCCTCGTCAAATGATTTTCCAGCACGTAGATAAATCGTTCTTATCAATGCATGTCGATAAAAAGTTTGCCTTCTAACGAAAAAAAAATTAAAAATCAACGTGTACTCACTGTTATAGGGCTGGAATGTGTGATAGTTTTTGTTCATGTAACATGGCGTCGAGGTCAGCGTTAGGTCGCCCTTCCTGAAAAAGCAAGTGAACTGGATATATTTGACTTAACAGTACGGAAATGCAACGGCCACACACTACATACTTGCAACAAATGTTGAGCTTCGCCTTCAAAAGTAGAACTCATAGCGTAATAGAACTTTATCGCTGGCTCTCAGCAACAAAGAATGCGCAAATTTTGAAAGTAACCTGCGCATGGAATTTGAAGGTTAGGTGTCCCACGTGGAGGTTGCGAAGGCAAGCGAAGAGGTAAAATTAGGGACGTTTATTGAAAGGGTTTTTGAGTGATGTTATCAGTGCTGTGCGGTCCCTTGCACCACATGTAAACTTGTTTCTTGTGCGAGGAATCGCGCAGTTGAAGTTTAGCCCTGCGTCCCGTCTGTTAAGTTCACCTTGGCCGTTGTTTTTTGCGCTAATTAGTTATGCCTGAAGTTAATACGCACCAACGAGACCAACGTGCTTCTATCATAGCCTATTAAGGTCCCGTTTGAATAATCTTCTCATTCGCTTGGTAGGCCTAGCTTCTCGGTGGGTACCTCAACTGGGCCGCGAGTAATGAAACGCCTGTGCGCGTAACATTAACCGTTCAAAGGTGCAGGAGAAACGCTGAATGGAAACGATGCTTCGAAGTGCTAGCTACATCAAAACTCATCGTACTGCTAATCAGTAAACTGTGAACTACATCATCATCATCATCTGCCTAACTACACCCACTGTAGAGCAAAGGCCTCTTCAATGATCTGCCAATCAACCCGGTCTTGCGCTTTCTGCTGCCACGTTACACCTGCGAACTTTTTAATCTCATCCGTCCACATAACTTTCTCAACTCGAACGCTCCTGAAACTCGAAAGCTCAGCTCGAACGCTCCTGAGCGTGTCGTGAAACAGTTTAATGAACGCCAGCACCACGTAACCTTGGATTATGTTGCGGAGATGTTAGCGGTATATGAAGACATACTAAACAAGCATACCGCGTTACTATCTCGGCAACAACGCTTCCAGCTGGCACAAGTCCAACCACATCAGGCCGCGCTGCGGTGTACTCGCGTTCAGCTTGGTGATGACTGTATGTTCGAGAATGAGTGGTGTGTATATTGTAGAACTAGAACTGCGGACGCAATGCCATGCTTGAAGTTTTCGCCACTAATGCTTCGAAGAAGCCTGATATGCAGAAAAATTAAACAACACGAACATTTATCGAAGCAATGTGTGAGAGCGGGCTATGATTGTGATGTTACGTGACAGGTATACATATTCTTGGAGCTTTGCAATGAAATTTTTAGTTGGAAGTAGGCTCTTGTCCTCGTTGTCTTTCTTAGTCCGTTGTATACCTTTCTGCGCTTCAGCTGTGAGGTGTAAGGTTTTAAATAGGTCAGTGTTTCTCTAAACGCCTGCTGAGAGTAATATACAAAGGAGCAACTAGTACGTCATTATACAGAATCGTCAGCCATACAAGAAAAATTTAAGTATCAAATAAATGTTAAGTATCAAGAGAGCATCAAAAACAAAAAAAGCTTGCATCAAAAAAAAAAGAAAGAGTGAGAACGTCTCCATCTGCTGGTCAACTTAGAAATGTTCTACTGCTAGGTAAATCCGCCATTTCGGTTAGAGAACAGACCATGCAAATGACATTGTCTCTTACACTGATTGAACTTCACCTTGGCCGTAGGTGAACATCGACGGCGTGCTGAAGTTCTGGTACGCTCCGTATCGGGTATATTTGACGCACTTCGCTGTTCCGCCATAGTTCGGATCATAGTAGTAATTTCGATATATCTGGTACCACTCTCCGATGTCGGGAAAACACTGAGCACATAAAACGTGAAAGAGAAAGCATTCGGTCAGCTGAACGTACCAAGTTACACCAATAGCTGCTTATGTGACTTACCCTCCCCCGCCGCGGCGGTCTAGTGGCTAAGGTACTCGGCTGCTGACCCGCAGGTCGCGGGTTCGAATCCCGGCGGCGGCGGCTGCATTTCCGATGGAGGCGGAAATGTAGGAGGCCCGTGTGCTCAGATTTGGGTGCACGTTAAAGAACCCCAGGTGGTCTAAATTTCCGGAGCCGTCCACTACGGCATCTCTCATAATCATATGGTGGTTTTGGGACGTTAAACCCCACATACCAACCAACCATGACTTACCCTTGCAAATTTATGTTGGTATGATATCAAATTATGGTGAACTGATAACGACGGAGTTCCGTATAGGAATTATTGCAATGGGAGAGTATGTTGTAACTAAAGACTAGGATATTGTTAGAACATTTTCGGAGAGTACAGAGAGAGGGGATGTAGTTACACTTTATGCATATGTGTACTCGCACATCGTCATCATCAACCTGACTACGCCCACTGCAAGCCAAAGGCCTCTCCCATGATCCGGAAATCAACCTGGTCTTGTGCTTTCTGCTGCCACGTTGTACCTACAAGTTTATACCTACTCACATATATGAAAAAATTCCGTGGAAAGATATTTGAACTCTCTTCTGCTGTCTACGCCAGTGGTAAAAGACTTCATCGTGTAGTAGATACACCCCTCAACATGAAGTCTTTCTACCATGAAGCATGTGCATTCCGACGTATACAAGAGATTTACGTCAGTTCTACAGGGAAGGGCGCTCAATGTGGTTCTACAAAGGGTCGGTTTCACAAATGATGTTTGCATGGCAATTGAGAAAACAGCTGTGCTCCAAAGACAGAAGAGCAGAGCGTACGAAAGTGATGAGGCACACCGTACCAATTTGATCGTTGGGATACGTTACAATCACATTTTGAAATAGGGGGTAGCTTATGCACTGATGAGTTATAAAATATGTAGGAAGGAAGGAGAAACAACAAGAGAGAAGACAGGCAGCTAACCAGGCACATGCCCGGTTTGCTACAATACGCTGGTGGTATTGAAAAGGGGGGGACAAAGAAGGCAAAATAACTACCAATATGGATAGGATAGTTAAAATAGCGGAGGAGTTTTACAGAGATCTGTACAGTAGCCGAGACAACCACGACCTTAATACTATAAGAACTAGCAGTAACCCAGATGACACCCCACCAGTAATAATAGAAGAAGTCAGAAAAGCTTTGGAGAGCATGCAAAGAGGCAAAGCTGCTGGTGAGGATCAGGTAACATCAGACCCGCTGAAAGATGGAGGACAGATTGTGTTAGAAAAACTAACCACCCTGTTTACGAGGTGTCTCCTGACGGGAAGGGTACCAGAGTCTTGGAAGAACGCTAACATAATCTTAATACATAAGAAAGGAGATGACAAGGACTTGAAGAATTACAGGCCGATCAGCTTGCTTTCTGTAGTATACAAGCTATTTACAAAGGTAATTGCTAACAGAGTAAAGAAAACATTAGAATTCAATCAACCAAAGGAACAAGCAGGATTTGGAACAGGCTACTCAACAATTGACCACATTCATACTATCAATCAGGTAATAGAGAAATGCTCAGAGTATAACCAACCACTATACATAGCCTTCATAGATTACGAGAAGGCGTTTGATTCAGTAGAAATATCAGCCGTCATGCAGACACTGCGGAATCAGGGCATAGATGAAGTATATATAAACATTCTGGAACAAATCTACAGGGGATCAACTGCTACCATAGTGCTTCATAAAGAAAGCAACAGAATACCAGTCAAGAAGGGTGTAAGGCAGGGGGACACAATCTCCCCAATGCTATTTACCGCGTGCTTACAGGAGGTTTTCAGAAGCCTAGAATGGGAACAGTTAGGGATAAGAGTTAATGGAGAATACCTTAGTAACTTGCGCTTCGCCGATAACATTGCATTGCTGAGTAACTCAGGGGACGAATTGCAACTCATGATTACGGAGTTAGACAAGGAGAGCAGAAAGGTGGGTCTTAAAATTAATCTGCAGAAAACGAAAGTAATGTACAACAACCTCGGCAAGGAGCAGCACTTCGAGATAGGTAATAGTGCACTTGAAGTTGTAAAAGACTATGTCTACTTAGGGCAGGTAATAACAGCAGAGCCGAACCACGAGATTGAAGTAACTAGAAGAATAAGAATGGGGTGGAGCGCATTTGGCAAGCACTCTCAAATTATGACAGGTAGATTGCCACTGTCCCTCAAGAGGAAAGTATATAACAGCTGTATCTTGCCGGTACTTAGCTACAGAGCAGAAACCTGGAGACTTACAAAGAGGGTTCAGCTTAAATTGAGGACGACGCAGCGAGCAATGGAAAGAAAAATGGTAGGTGTAACCTTAAGAGACAAGAAGAGAGCAGAGTGGATTAGGGGACAAACGGGGGTTAAGGATATCATAGTTGAAATAAAGAAGAGGAAACGGACATGGGCCGGGCATGTAGCGCGTAGACAGAATAACCGCTGGTCATTAAGGGTTACTAACTGGATTCCCAGAGAAGGGAAGCGGGTTAGGGGGAGACAGAAGGTTAGGTGGGCAGATGAGATTAAGAAGTTTGCGGGTATAAATTGGCAGCAGCAAGCACAGGACCGGGTTAACTGGCGGAACATGGGAGAGGCCTTTGTCCTGCAGTGGATGTAGTCAGGCTGATGATGATGATTGAAAAGGGGAGTATAAAGATGAGAGAGAAAGGAAATCGAGTAGAAAAGTGTCAGTATAGATGGGCTGACGCATATTCAGAGGTGGTGCTATTCAAAAGTCAAAGGCGTTCACATAGACCCGTAGTCCTCAGAAAGCGCAGCAGGGCTTTCACTGCCTTTTGAGCCGACGAAAGACGAGGACGGTGCTTCAGAAGGATCTGCACAAAGTGGCTGATCATCCAATTGTCGCAACGCGTCAGAAAGCTTTTGTCTCTCAGAAGCTAATCGGGGGCAACAACATTGCAGATGGTCGATGTCTTCTTCGGTGCCGCAGATCTCGCATTCCGCACTGTTGGCCACTCCAATCAAGTTTGTATATGCTTTTGTGAAGGTAACGCCCCCAAACGAAACCGACCAAGAAGTGAAGATTCACGTCGATGAAGTCCGGATGGAGGTCAAAGTTCCAGTTGGTGGAGTCTTGTATGCTTGGGGTGTTTCACACCATCAGACAGAGGCCTGACGATAGTTATAGCGCGAAAACAAAACGACGACACACAGACAAGAAGGACGCGAAAGACACGAGTCAACATGGGGGTTTCAGCGAGATCATACAAGCTGTTCATGAAAATAGCCGTGCGCTAAACAAAACTGCAGACCTAGGCGCAGGGAAGTCGCAAGTAAGTGGTGCTTGTTTCAAAGAAACCAAAAGGTACAATGTTAACACCTATGGTTTTACGCCGCAAACCGCGACATTATAATGAGAGACGCCGTTGTGGAGGGCTTCGGAAGTTTGGAGGATCTTGAAATATTTAACGTGCACTGACATGGCACAACACACAGGCCTCTACCGTCATAGGGTTTGCATAAGTAAATCCTACAAACGTTAGTACAACATAACGCGGGATTACAAGTAATATATAAAGCGTTTGATCACTGATGTGTGGGGTTTAACGTCCCAAAACTACCCTATATGTTTATGAGAGACGCCGTAGTGGAGGAGTCCCGAAATTTAGACCACCTGGGGTTCTTTAACGTCCACCCAAATCTGAACACACGGGCCTACAGCATTTTCGCCTCCATCGAAAGTGCAGCTGCCACAGCCGGGATTTGATTCCGAGATGTGCAGGTCAGCAGCCGAGTACCTTCCACTATAGACCACCACGACGGGTCTACTTGAAGTGGTGTTGTTAGGGCCTAGTACTTTGCATGGGACGTTCTCACCTTGCTAGAGTCCTGAAACTGTTGCAAATCACTTCTCAGTTCAGGATAGAACTGCGCTTGACAGAAGATCAGCAGGACTTTGCTTAGAAGCAGGACCAACGTCGCCGGCTGCATGTTAACTACACGTGAGGCAGTATGTGAGGCTTAACAGGTGGCGTAGGCATGAAAAGCTTTCTCTTTGAAGCAAGAGAACCCATTCGCTCATATCGTATGGACAACGACAACCACACAAAAACCGGATGGTGACGATTAAACTGCAAAGGAAATCGAGTTACTTTAGGCACTCGTTTGACACGCTTGCAATTGACACACTTTGACAAGTTTTGTCGCGATCATGCATGTTTTCCAACGCATGGGTTGGCAGCGTTTTAATGCGGAGAGTTGAGTTGCATGAAGCAGACATGGTGGGGGCCGGACGACTACCCAGGAAGAGGGTGGAGGTAGGGGGGCAGGGATTTGCAGGCAAAAAGAACCAAGAACTGGCGAATCGACAATAATGTACAAAACTGGAACACAAATAATCTCTAACCAGAATAGGTGGTTTACGGTTGAATAGGAACTTTAATATTGTAACGCGGACTGAAAGAGTGAGGAAGAAGAAGAGATCGGACGCTCTCGAGGAATGGTGATTCACCAAATTACACGCCTATATTCATCGCTGAATTATTTGCTATAATTCTAGCGCTTCGTAAACTTCCTGCAAGCGAATCAGAAGCGGTCATATTTACCTATTCTCTGTCAGTATGCACTGCACTATCTACAGCAAAAAATTTGACATTATTGAGTATGATTAGCAGTTTATTACAAGAAAACCTGAAAAAATTTCACTTGCTATGGATACCCGGCCACTGCGGGATTTATCCAAATGAGATGGCAGACTCGTTAGCCAAAGCATATTTAAGCGGACCACTCTTACCTATTTTACCTGATTTCGTCTACGTAACAGCACTCAGATATAGAAAGGCTTGTTTGCACAAAGAAATAGAAAAATTATCATTGGATAAAGTCAGAGGCTTCGTACATCTAAGATATTGCTGGAACAAACAGTGGTGTGCATCTCGGCAGTTAGAAATTACAATCACCAGATTACGATGCAGAATTCCGCATCTGAATTACTACCTACATAAAGCTCGACTAACAGCATCTCCATTGTGTCTCTTTTGCAAAGAATCGGAATCAATAGATCATTTTTTTTATCCTGTAAACGTTATGCTTATCAAAGAAAAAGATACCTGGTCGAACCGATTGAGGAGCTAGGTTTAAAAATAAACGTGGAACTAACTTTATCCTTCGGAGGGATTACATTAGGTTATAGCCGCAGGGAGGTTTTCTCTGCTGTGTGCGAATACATAAGGGCAACAAAGAGATTACCCTGTTAGCCTATTGTTATTATTTACGGCTACGAGACTACCTGAATGCCTGACTTATAACTAACATACTTGATGATCCTGCCGCCCGGTTCTTGGCCGATCCCCCTTTGTGGGCGAGTGCCAGCAAAGCTGAAGGTTCATCATCATCATCATCAATGGTGATTCGGCAGTGACGGTAGAGCACTGACATTTTTTTTTTCAGTGTAAATAAACCCATCACATCCGTAACAGCTTTGGTGGAGCTGTGCTGGGTAACTTGCCATCCTGGAGCCCGCAGCAGAAGTTCTTCGAAGAAGCAGACGCTTAGCTGGCCTACCCCCGGACAACAGCATGAACGACGACACAGCAATCCCATTGACGCACTACGCTGCTGCATCCACCAGTGCCACCGACACGGCACAAGGTGGCCGTCGACCTCGACAACCAGACTACTGGGCACCCGAGCCACGAATTTTCTCAGGTAAAACAACTGACGAAGTCGTGGACGCTTGGCTAAAACACTTCGACAGAGTGAGCCCCTACTACGAATGGGGCGCACCGGCTAAGCTCGTGAACGTAGTATTCTTCCTTGCCGGGACAGCCTTGCTTTGGTTTGAGAACCATGAGCATGTCCTCCCCACGTGGGATATATTTGTTAAGGAACTGAAGGCCTGCTTTGGGGACACGAGTTCCATGAAAAAGAAAGCTGAGCAAACGCTGTCACGTAGGGCTCAGTTGCCCGGCGAGACGTGCACAACCTATATTGAAGAAGTATTGAAGCTTTGCGGGATTGTCAACGCAAATATGTCTGACGAAGACAAAGTCGGTCATTTGTTAAAAGGCTTCGCCGAAGACGTGTACAATTTTTTGATAACAAAAGAAAACTTGAACACTCCTTCGATTTTCAGGCAGCAGTGTCGCGCATTCGAGGCGTTGAAGACCCGGAGAATTCTAACCTAGTTCGGGCGCTTGGACAATGTTCCCACTGTCGCTAGTATGGACGTCGCCACCTGCGAAGACATTCCCTTCCTCGTACGTCGGGTAGTTCGAGAAGAGCTCGTACGACTTCAAGCAGGTGACGTTCACCACCAATGCTCGTTCGTCGCGTGCCCCGAACCACCTCCCTACTGGATGCGAGAGCGCCACGTCGAAGACCGACCACGCACAGAAACTGCAGATTTTACCCCGCGGTTTCCATTTTCCCCGACGGGTCGTGGCCACCACCGGATGTCATCATCTCGGCGTGCCGCTGCGGACCTCCGACCGTTGTCAACCAGGCCTCTACCAGAAGATTACTATGCGTCATCACAAAATGTCCCTGCGGAGCACGACCCGTCTCCGCGTACTTCTGCCACCTCTGCTCCTGCTAATGTAAGCCGACAAGTCCCCGTTTGCTACACATGCGGTCTCCCGGGGCATATTTCGCGCTTCTGTCCCAGACGGCCGCCTGCACCGCCACGTTTTTCGACGTATCCGGCTCGTATGTACGAAACGCCTGTGCCGCCACGTTTTGCGACGCACCCGCCTCGTATGCACGAAACGTGGACCTCTCACCCGGCCAACCACCGTCCCCGACAGCAATGGCCTAACGCATTTCGCAGTGAGTCCCCCGCCGGTCGCCGTCTCCGCGTCGTCGGTCACCTTCCCCGCATCGGCTGGGAAACTAACTGGTGCGACCGATGGAGGTGCGGTCGCGGGACGGTCAGTTTCTCCAATTCCTCCTTCTGCTGTGATGTTGATGAACAAAGTGCGTGTGTGTATAGACGGTGTAGATACTCTTGCTCTTGTAGACACTGGTGCTGCTGTTTCGGTCATGAGCCTTCGTTTCAAACATCGTTTCTTGGGTCACAAAGTTATGTTCGCGTGGAATCGTAAAGAAACTTTTCGTGGAGTTGGAGGCGAAGCGTTATGCCCTGTTGGTATTTGTTCAGTTGTACTCACGATTGGTGGACAAAATTTCCGAGTTGAATTCACTGTACTGGCTCGCGCAACTCATGACGTCATTTTAGGGATAGACCTTCATGAATGCGGCGCTACGCTTGACTGTGGAACTGGAGAGATTCTTCTACAAAGTACGTTGCCCGCTGCAATAGTTGACAATTTTCCGACTCTGCCCATCGATGCTCTTTCGTTGTCTGAAGATGTGACGATCCCTGGTCGGACAGCAGTGTTTGTACCCGTATGCTCTTCTCATGTCCGCTCAGGACCCTGCACTGGACTTGTGGAGCCTGATCATGCAAACGCCATCAAGAAGAATGTGCTGGTCCCATGGTCTGTCCTTACAGCCATCGATGGACATGCTTGCTTGTGGGCGCTCAACGCAGCCTCATAGCCTGTTGTTCTACCAGCCGGATTCAAACTGGGAACGTTCGAGGAGCAGGCCACAATTGACGTCAGAATGGTCTCAGAGCCTCCAGCCATCAGTCAGACTGCGCCCAACTACTGAGCCGAGATTAAACGTATGATCAATAAGTCGTTGCCTTCTTCCGAGCAGAATGTCCTTGAGGAGGTACTTACACGCTACGCGGGAGTCTTTGATTTCGCTCAAAACAAGCGTTGTTCCATGTTGCCCGAATTCTGTATGCACCACTGCATCAACACGGGAGATGCTACACCGATACGCCAGAAACCCTATCGCGTATCCCCGTCAGAGAGGCAAGTGATCGCCGATCAGGTCAACGACATGCTGCAGAAAGGCGTTATTCAAGAGTCAAGCAGTCCCTGGGCAGCTCCTGTTATATTGGTAAAAAAGAAAGACAACTCTTGGCGATTTTGTGTAGACTACCGCCATCTCAACGCCGTCACAAAGAAAGACGTGTATCCGCTACCACGCATCGACGATGCTGTTGATTGTCTGCCCTCGGCCGCATACTTTTCGTCCGTCGACCTGAGGTCTGGATACTGGCAAATACCAATGCATCCGTCTGACAAAGAGAAGACTGCTTTTGTCTCGCCTGATGGATTATTTGAATTCAACGTTATGCCGTTTGGCTTATGCAATGCCCCAGCTACCTTCGAGCGATTCATGGACTCCATCCTTCGCGGTCTCAAATGGGAGATATGTATGTGTTATCTCGATGATGTAATTATTTTTGGCAAGACATTCCACGAGCCCAACCATTGGCTTAGCGTTGTTTTAGATTGCGTCAAACAAGCTGGTCTCGTTTTAAACGCAAAGAAGTGTCATTTTGGTGAGCGTCAAACCCTTGTGCTTGGATATCTAGTCGACAGGGACGGTATACAACCAGACCCGCACAAAATCAGTGCTGTCCGAGACTTCAAGGAACCGACGTCTGTGAAGGATCTCCGTAGCTTCGTGGGCCTGTGTTGTTATTTTCGTCGGTTTATCAAAGACTTCGCCCAGCTGGCTCATCCCCTGACAGAGTTGCTCCGCAAAAACGCCCCATTCTGATGGACCGTTGAGTGTGTGGCTGCTTTCAAGCAGCTGAAGTATTTGCTTACTTCCGGGCCCCTCTTGCGCCATTTCGACTGGGAGGCACTCACGGAACTGCATACAGATGCTAGTGGTATCGGTGTTGGTGCCGTGCTAGTTCAATATCACGACAGCCGGCAGCACGTCGTAGCGTACGCAAGTCGTACTTTGACTAAGGTAAAGAGGATTTATACGGTCACCAAACTGGAACGTCTTGCAGTTGTTTTCGCCGTCCAAAAGTTCAGACCTTATTTATACGGCCGGCAGTTCAAGATCGTCACAGACCATCATTCGCTTTGTTGACTTGTCGGACCGTAGTCCGACAAGCGGTCGGTTGGCTCGCCGTGACCCAGCTGGTCGGTTGGCTCGCTGGGCCTTACGGCTTCAAGAATATATTTAT